GATAATTTAAGTAGGTAACTAACAAAAAAATAATAGTTTAGACGGATTTTAGGCTGAGTTAAATAGCCACGTGTCTTGTTACATGGCACCTTTTTTTAGATAATTAGGAGCATGTACTAGACGCACATCTAAGAATGTAATGGGGGGTTTTTAATATGAAGGGCAACATAGTTTAGAGGGTTTTGAGGATACCGAATAGTTTAAATAGGAAACTGACAAAAACATAATAGTTTAGGAGGATTTTACATTTTAGGGTATTAACTCTTTAGATATCAATGAAAAAAGAAGATATACATCTGAAGAGTGTTAGGCATTCTTGTTATTTTTTAGCTTTAGCGCATGTATAATGAAATATTAATATTCTTAATTCACATTTTATCCCCCATAAAATAAAATAAAATAAAATTTGATTCAGTGATTAAATCTGCTTATTCCAGTAACCAAACCGTCTCTAATTATAGAATTGTAGTAAGATGATATCCTCAAAGATGCCATAAATATATTAGAAAATGGTGTTCTGCTTACAATAATATAATTAAGCCAAGAGTAAAAGAGTTCAAGTCATTCACTTCCCTTAGCAACAGCAAAACCTGATTTCCCTCCTACATTATTGGGATAAATCATAACTAGTAGACCCCCTTACCAAAGAAAAAAAAAATGTTACTTCAGAATATAACAAGAAATAATTCCCTTTTGCATTTCTGATTTAGCAATTTTGATAATCTTGGAATAAGTAGATTTTTTAAATGACGAACAAACTTTTTGATTGATTTGTTGTTTGTTTCTTTTCTTCTCTTGTAAAGAGATATGGTGTCATCATCATCGCCTAAATTGAAGAGTGTGTCATTTTTCAAATTGACAAGGCTGTAACAAAAATCTCAGGTAAAACCTTTGAAATAATATGAATTTAGATGAATTAGCTAAGAATGTGATGTCTGGTGAAGAAGGTTTGCAATTCATGCAAAATCCATCTTCAAATTCCATGTTTCTTGAAAATACGAATCATGGTACATTGTGTAACAAGAGTAGTACTGTTGATGAAAACCATAATCAAGAAATAAAGCATTACTCTCTTCAGCCACAACTGAGTAGTACTCTTGGTCTTGAGGATTTCTTGATACGTGCCAATGTCATAAAGAATAGGAATAAGTTTGATGATCAGCCCCAAATGGAACCTAAATTCTATCAACAGATTAATGATATGATGATGCCAATGCCTATCCAATGTTATTCAGATATTGGTTTTGAGAATCATCAGTCTATGGATGTTGTTAATAATTATTCAGAGAAAACAACAAATATGGCAATGACAACAGTAACAACGTCGAATGACTGTTATTTAAGTGGAGAAAGGAAGAGGACTTTCGCGAATGAGAAGATGGAGAAAAATATTGAAAGAAGGCAGAGAAGGATGATCAAGAATAGAGAATCAGCTGCTAGGTCAAGAGCAAGGAAACAGGTAGAGAAGTGAATTTCTAGCTAGCTACTTTATTCGCATTCTTGAATATTCTGTCTGTGTGAGCTTTGATCGTATTGCCAGTCCTAAGTCCGGATAAAAAAAGAGGATTGTGGTAGGTTGACAGCCAACGTAAAACTGATCAATTTAGATACTGTTGTTATTGACTTATTGTTTCTCGAATAATGACCAATTTATTCTTCTAGTATCTTCCTTTTGGAATTCCAGGCTTACACAAAACAATTGGAGCAAGAGGTGTTAGAGTTGAGGAACACTAACAATTGGCTGAAAAAGCAAAAGGTGACACACTCAAATTTTCTCGGACTTTACTAGTTTATTTGCTAAACTAGTGTTTTTAGGTATAAATATGGAATCGAATATTTAGTTTAATGTTTTGTGCTTAACTTCTTTTATCTATTTCCCATGTGTTGGGTACTTGGGTAAAGGGATCTATGCTTTTATTAAAGAATGAAAATAACTAGCGAAGTATAATCTTGTAAAGAGTAAAAGCAATTTGCATCTTTAAAAGTTCCGTTGTAAAGGCTAGAGAATATATTCTAGAGGCAGCCTCCCGTTCTGACTGTTTTATAATGAAGTAATGAGCTTTTGAACTACAAGATTGCATGGCAAAATAAAACCAAAAAACCGAAAAGAAAGTCGAACATTTATGATAGCAGTAGCTTTTATCTCTATGTTGTTGGATTTAAATTAAATAGAAAATAAGAAGAATTAACTCAAATAGCCATCCATCCAACCGATTAAATTAAAAATAGCCGGTGGAGGTATAATATATGTATAGTTCATGTATTATATGTGTATAATCGTATATAATTAATGTATAATCTATGTATTTGACTAAAAAAAGTAAACAGTAAATATGACCGGCTAATTGTTTAAAGATCTCATAGAATAATAATGTAAAAAAAATTATACATCAATATAATTTAACCATTATAACATGTTAATATTCAATTAATGTTTAATTAATGAATTTAAGTTATTATATATTGACGATTTAGAAAATATTTACGTAAGGTTCTTATAAAATAACTACAGATAAAACTTTTTTTCAAATTGTTGATAGTATATCTTGTTGTAGTTCTATGCAGAGTATTATTTCCTATTTGATCCATTTGAATTCCGTTTTCAAAGTCGTGATCGGATCTATCCACTAAAAGAATCTCTTCAGTACATTTCTTATGTAGTCGTGGATATTATATTGAATTTGAATCATATTTTGGATCAATCTATATTAAGTGACTGCCTCCATTTTGTTGTTGCTAGCAGATACCATTATTTTTAGTTTTGAATCTTCAAAATTATTACCTTAAAATTCAGGAATAGTGTAAAAAGTATTTTCTCTACCTAAATATATAAGTTAAATCCTTATTAAATAAAGTTACATATAATTATTTGTAGAATTAATCTAAATAGCCACCTACCTAATTATTTAAACTAAAATAGGCTATAAATATTAATATATGTATAATTCATGCATAATACGTGTATAGATTAATGTATAATTTATGTATATTGATTAGAAAAAGTAAACAGTGGATCCAGCCGGCTATTTCTGCAAAGATCTCTAATTATTTTACGTAATCTAATTGCTTAAATAGTTTTGAGAAAACTACCATCTATAGCCCCTCAAAATTTTAATAGCCCAGTTTTTGCCCTATGACTTAAAATGGCCCTCCTGCCCAAACATATTATATCTAATAGCCTGAAATGTCTAATTTGTATATTATTTGAATAGTGACAGCCTATTTTGTATATTTGTTGTATAGTGACAGTCTATTTTGTATATATTTTATATAGTGACAATCTATTTTGTATAGTGACAGTCTATTGTATATAAATTGTATAGTGGTAGTCTATTTAATATATTTTTGTATAGTGACAGTCTATTTTGTATATTTTTTGTATAGTGACAATCTATTTTTACCGAAAAAATACATAAATATCCATGTAAATATATACTAATGGTGGGCCTGAAATTATGATTCCCTTCAAAATCAACTAATGACATATATGTGAAAATTTATTTGGTGAAAACCAAAGGATTTCCCCAACAAAAAATGTTAGCCCAGAAAAAAATGAGGCATAATAGAGAGCTTGGGATTTTTATTCAAAGAGTGGTTGCCCCTCTATGTTTAGCCAATGATTTTCCTTTTCCACTTTTAAAACAAAATCAATAGCCCTTGAATTCCTAAAAATACGCACTACTATACAGTCATTTCTTCAGCATCAATCAACAACAACATCCATATCTCTCTTTCTCTGTCTCTGTTTCTGTGATTTTAGTTCCTCTTTTTTGCTACATAACAATTGAGGCAGTGATGATATTTTATCCGGATTCTGGGTTAACTGGATCGGGCATAGAGACTATCTGACCCGTATCTTGGCCTGGCAAATCACCAGACGGTCGGCGATTCAAAGGTTTTTACTTTGGATGCAATCGGTGATTTTGCAGCCATGGCATTGTCGCCTCTCTTTTCCGCGATCTGTCTTTGCAGATCTGATTTTTGGACTAGCCACTAAAATTACTTTTGTACTATAAAATGTATATTGTAATTTTAGGCTATCGAATATTATAAGTTTGGCCCGAGTGACTATAAATGAATTTTGCTTAAATAGTTTTATACTGTCAATGCACAATAACTCTATTTCGTTATGCTGAAGGAAATACCTTGACTGACTATTATCTATTGTTGTTAACAGGACTTGGAGAAACTTATGTGCTCAAATGTAGCTAATTCTGAGCCTAGATACCAACTCAGGAGAACCAGCTCAGCTACCTTCTGAGTCTCAATTTTCACACCAAAGGGCAAAGCCTTTCTATTTTTGATTTTATAAATCATATTTCTTTTATTTTTATCCTTATACATCATCCCTCTCAATTGTAATTTGATCTGAGTTGGCCAGCTTTTATGTATTTGTCTAAGAGCTGCATCTATCACTGCCCAACACTACCAATTTTACATAATATTCGGTCTGGAAAAATAGTGATCTTTGGTTCGTATCGTTTTAATTATTTATGATTTTAAAACAACATAGTATCGTAAAAGAAAGGAATATATCTAAGGGGTCTTGTTTTCTTTCAATTTCTTATCCTTACAATTAGAAAAAGAAATTACTACCAAAATGGAACCGAAGACATAATAGAAAAAATGCTTTCTTCTACCAAAGGAGCTTCACTTGGACTACTTTAATGATTTTTGGGATCTTTACACCAATAGCAAGTCAGATTCATTGTTTACTTTTCTTAGACAGTATCAATAAATTATATACAAATTATACATATATATACATTCACTAGTTATATTTAGTTTAAAAGATTGAGTGTGCGGCTATTTGGATTAACTCTTCATTATTTTTTTCAGCCATAAGACCGATAACCCAACCATGGAGAGGCTGCTATTTTTGCTCTCAAGCTATAATATTTGTCTTTTCTCTCTCCCACCACTCTATCTTTCTGGTTCTTTATTCTTTTGTAGTTTTTTTCCCTTTTGTGAGGGGGGTTCACAAAGTGAAGTTTTATGCATAGTTTGGGCTTTAAATGAAAAGGTAAAAATGATGGGTCAACCCACTATTGGATCTAAAGGCCNATTTTTTTCCCTTTTGTGAGGGGGTTCACAAAGTGAAGTTTTTATGCATAGTTGGGGCTTCAAATTAAATGAAAAGGTAAAAACGATGGGCCAACCCACTATTGGATCTCCCATTGGGAAATAAGTAGTAAGTCCAAAATTTACTTCAAAATCCACTATCCTCCTCATTGGGGAAAAATTAGAAATAATTCGATTTTGCTATGGTAATTGAAAAATAGTCACAGTTTTAAAAGTGATAAAAACTTATCCATTTTTTCATATAATGATAAAATCTGAACAAAAACACCCTTAAAAATCCGGAAAAATTCTAGCATAATATGCCGGAGTTCGAATTTTTGACATATGAGATTCCAGCATAATGTGCAGGAGTTTCAATATAATATACTGGAAGTTTGTACGCAGGAGCTCCATAATTTTGCATATTATGCTGGAACTTTTCATGTGCTGGAGTTCCAACATAATTTGCCGGAAGTTTATATGCAGGGGCTCCATAATCCAGCATATTATGCTAGAACTTTCCGTAGTGGCTATTTTTCAATGACTTTGCAAACGCTGACTATTTTTTAATTATCAGTCTGAAAACTGGCTAACCCGTGCTATTTACCTCGCTCCACTATGTTTGCGTGAATCCAAATGTTTAACACTATCTATTTTTCAAATACCCATTATCTTCAAATTTTTGAATTTTCTATCTTCGCTTTTTCTTATCTTTCTTTCCAACCATTTTTCTTCTTCTTTCTACCGTAGCATAATTTATCTAAAGGGAATGAATAATCTCTTTTTCACAGGTTTAAATGTTAAATGAAGTTGAGTTAAAGGGGTGTAGTGTATGGACCAAGTTAGTTTAAAGAGTTATCCATAATGATTTCAAGGCAACTGAGAGGGCATACATCATCACAATTATCTATCCATACGTTTTCTTAGAATGGAAATAGATGTGTTTATATATGTAGGGATAGTACAAAGACTTTTTGAATTATTAATTATTAGACGATTATTTATCTTATTTTTCACGTTAACAAGTCATATTTATTTACCTAGCTACTTTAGGGGTATGACCAATTTTTATGTACTATAGAATTGACTTTTAAATAATTTGATAGTGTAAGAAAATTACTTTTGTTATTAATGTATATAAATTAAATTCATGTACAAATTAAAAGAGCTTTAGTCTTGGGGAGCTCGGCATATTGGGGTCATCCCGATGATTAACCCTTTTGAGTTCTCTTAATATCAAAGCACCCTTAATAACATACAGTAGTACTAGTAGTATTTATTAACGTAGTCTGGGTCAAAGTAATCATACATATAACATAAAGTAGTACTAGTATTTAAGAGTCGTGGAAACAATCTCTTGTAGAAATGTAAAGTAAGACTGCGTACAATAGATCCTTATGATCCGGTCCTTCTCCAAACCCCGCGCATAACGAAAACTTAGTGCACCTGCCGTCCTTTTTTTTTGGGTCAAAATAATACCATAGTGGATACAAAAATCTTTACCTATCTTCAACAAACCCATATAATATAATCCGTACTTCAAATTTCAATATTTAAACTTGAATAAAATGTCCGAGGGATACAACTACAATTAAAAGATAGCTCAGGGACCAATGTAAAATTATCCTAAAAGTAATGGGTAGAGAAGAGGGACCAAGGGGTGGCTCCATTTGCATTTGCATTAGTAGGAACAAAGCATTAGATTCTGGTTCCTTATTTTCTCCCTTTAATCAAACCTTTGCCTATAACTCTCTTTGCAAATACCATTTTCTCTCTCTTTCTCACACATCTTTCAGGTAACAATTTTCTCACTGGTTTTACTTTCCGAGAAAATAAATTCTGCAGTATTCAACAACTATACTTTTTTTTCTCGCCGGAATTCCCCATTTTCTTTTACAGTTTTACTTGAAAGCTTCTTTTGTTTGCAGAAGAAAGTAGGTTTCTCTTTTTGCCTTTGAATTTTTTTTCTTCGAATTTTCTTCGTAGATCTCAAGTTTAGAGTTGTATGACTTCCATTTTACATCAAGTACACATAATTAATATGCTTCATTTTACTCAATCCTCGTTTTTTGAATGTTGTCTTAGCAGTTCAAAACCTTAGTATATTTCTGGGTATGTTATGTTTACGATTTTCATCTCAAAAATTTCATCATTAGTATTGGTATATGGCTTTTTTAATTGTGAAAGATATTTATCTGAACGGTCAAGTCTTATATGATTGGCAGGTGTGGAAAGAAAAGTACAAGTGCCGTACAAATGGAGGTCATGCTTACCAACACTCTGCTAACGTGCGCTCTACCCACACTTTTAGCCTCCACCCAGGTTACTACTCCAGCTAAAATTAGCAGTTCGACTTGTGTTAATTCCTTGCAATTTTAACCTGGAAAAAACTTACACCCTGTGTTTTTATATGCTAATAATATTATCTTACTTTACCATAATCAGGTGTGAATTGAAATACAAAAACTTATTAATTAATGGTGGTTAAGTAATTACAAATTGTGTATACTCTCCGGTCTAAGCAATATTTGATTTTTTAACTTTTTTTAAAAAGTTGTCACCGGAGTAAAGAGCTTAGGAGTATTTGTTGTATTTTTAATAAACAAATTAAGGTTAATATGATCAATTTTATTATTAATTAATGTTAAAAAATAAATTTTTTAATATATGTAAAAATAGTCAAAAATCAATTAAAGTTGACGAGAGAGTGCATAAAATATCAAAATACACATTTATCTGATCAGTGAATAAGTATTTCCTGAGCTCTCTATCTATCTGTTCTTTTTTTATCTTACAATACAAGTATCTGAATGTTCATTGGTCGTGTGCTTCCAAAATATTTCATTTTGTGGAATTAGGAGGTTTTCTCTCTCAGAAATCTAATGGTTTTGCTTTTTTTTCTTTTCTTTTTTGTTTTGGATTAACCCCTCAACAAAATAATTTAGCTGTAGAAATTTTATTCTCAATAAGTAAAATTTCAGAAACTAAAGAGAAGGGTGCAAAATATCTAAAAGAGGAGTTATGGTGTAAGAAATAGTTTTTTTTTTTTTTTTTTTTTTTTTTTTAGAGTGAAAATATGAGGAGGAAGTAGCATTTATTTTCTCGTACTCTTTTTAATGTTGTGAAGTTACTAACGTGCGCCTGTAGGGTACTGGTTTTCAGTGTCGGAACTGAAACAGAACGTTAATTTGGATTATATGCCATTTTGGGTTCCGGATTAGTTGATACAGCAGGGCCCCACTAAGAATTATATATTCTGCCACTGGCCAATTATGTTAGTTTTGCAGAATAGATGCTGCAACTACTGCCTCTTCACAGTGGACTAATAAAGTTTTTAATTACTAAATTGGTATATTTGGGGAATAAACAATTCTGGATGAGATTTTTGTAATCCTGGAAAAAGCCAAGTGAGCTTTATTTTAAATAAAAAGAAACATGTTGAGTAAAATATTGTTTTCAAACGAATTGAAAAAACATGCTTTTTCTAGGTTGACTCTTTCTTAAGAGAATAAGTATTATATCCGAATATGCTATCAAGATATGATTAATTTTATGTTTATAAATTTGACTGGCCTCACATTAACTAGCATTTCATACTTCGGCTGTAAATTGTACTACGAGGTTGTCCACTCTGAACTGGACCAACGGGCTTAATGGACTTGGACAGAAATTGCCCCTTCTATTATAATGGGCCCTAAAATTTTAGTCGTATACATTATGGGCTCATTTTATGTTGAAGAATTAACCAAAGTAGCCGTTCACCTAATTTCCTAAACTAAAAATAACCGGCGGATTTATAATATATATATAATTCATGTATAATATATATATAACTGTGTATAATCTATGTACACTGGCTAGAAAAAGTAAACAGTGAACCTGACCGGCTATCTATCTGTGTTATGTCATGAGATTGACAGGCAATCCATTTCTTCACTTTGTAGTATTCCTAGAATAGTCATGTAAGATGACTGTCTTTAAGTAATTCCAGGATGTTGCTGTGCCGCTGGTGGCAATTGAGACCAAAGTCAAGGGAGATCAAAGTAGAAATGATGGGCACAAAGTAGTTGATGCTGCTGAGGAAGGTGGAGATGGAGACAACAATGTTGAGAATGGGGATGGTGAATTTGAGGATGGTGAAGATGATCAATTTTCTGATGAAGGGATTCATGAAAACAATCCCAACAAAACCAATGGCAATGCCAAGAAGAGCAATGATGAAGAAGGTGAAGAAAATGGAGATGCAGAAGATGAAGAAGGTGATGGTGAAGGTCATGATGATGACGACAACAATGATGACGACGATGATAATGATAATGATGACGACGACGACGACGATGGAGAAGGACCAGACGAAGAAGAAGTTGTAGAGGAGGAGCCAGAAGATGATGAAGAAGAGGATGAAGAAGAAGAGACAATCCAGCCCCCAAAGAAAAGGAAGAAGTGATCGAAGTTTTGTGATCACTTTGAAGCATCTGAGTTTAGTTTTAACTTGAGAGGGAGAGTTACTTAATATGCTTTTCTATTACCTTTCATTTGATGTTTTAGAGAACTTTGAAGCTTTTAATCCCTCAAGGTAACTTGTTTTCCAGAGTACATATCTTAATCTGTCTTTCTTTACTTTAGAAGTCCATTGTCACTTCGGCTCTTGGTAATCTGCAATTCTAACGAAGTAATTTGGCGTGGTATAGCCATTTTTTTAATTGGTATTTACTTTTTAGTCAGTATTTTTAATGTTGAGCAAAAATAGCCACTACTCTATTAAAATTGATACGAAAAGTCGTTTTTACCCTTTTTTCATGAGTATTGTGTAAATACTAAGGACAAACCATGTCTTTAATATTTACGTTAAGGACACCATGTCCTTAATATTTACACAGTACTCATAAAGTTAAGGATACTATTTCCTTAACATTTACAATGCACACATGAAGTTAAGGACATCATGTTCTTAACATTTATACTACACATATGAAGTTAAGGACATGACGTCCTAAAGTTTAACAACAGAAGGTGCAAATACAAGTTAAGGATATTATGTCCTTAACATTTACACTCCACATATGAAGTTAAGGACATTATGTCCTAAAGTTTAACAATAGAAGTTGCAAATACAGGACACTTTGTCCTTAATATTTACACAACACTCAAGAAGTTAAGGACACCATATCCTTAATATTTGCACTCCACATATGAAGTTAAGGACATTATGTCCTAAAGTTTAACAATAGAAGTTGCAAATACAGGACACTTTGTCCTTAATATTTACACAACACTCATGAAGTTAAGGACACCATATCCTTAATATTTACTGCACATATGAAGTTAAGGACATGATGTCCTAAGGTTTAACAATAGAAGTTGCAAATACAGGACACTTTGTCCTTAATATTTACACAACACTCATGAAGTTAAGGACATCATGTCCTTAATATTTACACTGCACATATGAAGTTAAGGACATAATGTCCTAAAGTTTAACAGAAGTTGCAAATACAGAATACTTTGTCCTTAATATTTACACAACACTCATGAAGTTAAGGACACTATATCCTTAATATTTACACAGCACCCATGTCTAGTATATGGGTATTTTTGTCCGGACGGGTAAAAATGTATTAAGCACTGGTTAGAGAGTAAATACATTTAAAACAGTGGCTAAAAAATAAAGACATCTCTAATTAGTGGCTATCTGTGCACTTCCCCGGTGCATCCCAATCTACACGTATGTGGGCCGCAATGACTAAAGGGCAAAATATAAAATTGGCTTGTCAATCGAAACTAATGATATTCGCTAGTTAAAAAGCGTATAAAATATGTACATATAAACAATATATATATAAACAATATATATATATATATATATTGGCTATTATATATTTGGGAGCGACTAAATTTATATATTTCTCTTTGCAAAATGTCTCCCAACCCATTTTAAGTGTAAATTGGTCGACTTAGAACTTTCCTGCCGTTGGCTGTTAATATTAGTCCTATTTTCTTTAGCATCCACTTAATTTTTAAGTCAAGAATGAACAGTTCAGAAAAATCATATGTTACTGAAATTCTTCGACCGCATTCTCATTCAAAATTCATCAGACTTGGTGGGCAGCCTTCATCCATCTACAATAATACTATTAAATCCTTTCATTTTTTCACAAAAATTCACTTACGCTATTTTCATTGAGAATCACTGAGATACTTGATCAATTTTTAGATTTTGTATACAGTAGTTAACCAGCTGGCTTATGAGGTTACGTCATTTTTAGACAACTCAACAAGTTCCCCAATAATAATAACTGGAACAATGATGGAAAAAATACATTGACGAAATCCATCCATATATCTTTTTCAACTAAACGGTAACATTAAAAATGTTCAAGTATATCACAAACATCTTGGATAAGAAAGCTAC